ATTTAAATGCATTCAAAAACAATTCCCACAAAAAAGACTCGAAAACCACTTCATTTAAGTGAAAACCACGGCTAGCCAAGTTTATGCCATTTCGCGTGGTTTTTATCAAACGACAAAAAACGAAAGGTGGTTTTTGAAGTGTTTTTGATGGAAAACTATTTAAATGTGCCCAGAAGTAAAAACCAATCATAAAAAGTTGAAAACCACTTGGTTAGTTCGGACGCCAAAAACCAACGCCGAAAACCGAATGCCGAACGCCAGTTTCTGAAACCCGAACGCCGGATGGCTTGATTTTTGGTTTGGGCGAACACCAAGTGTTTTTAATGTTTTAAACATGTTTGAAAAACATTTTTATGATGTGTGAAATGCAATGAAAAGAATTTTAGCCTAAAGAGCCAAGGTGTAAAGGTTGGGTCGGTCTTGATCACAATTATGACCGACTCAACAACACTAAGACTACGGTCTTCGTTCTTGGTCTTCTTTTGGGTCTTGTTCTCTTGCTTTCTTCTTATATTTATTTCTCGCCTTGTATATTCAATAACTTGTCTCGTTCACGGCGGTTTGGCATTATCAAAACCTGTCATAACAACGAACGCGGCTTTAGTGCGAAAACGTGATAAACCCGTGTTTCAACATGGATGAGGGGAACCTATACATTTCAACCAAGGCGTTTTCAAAATTCACTATTGCATTGCACGTTGTAAACATTTTAACAAACAAAGGGGGGAACCATATGATTTCATGACCTGGACATTTTCAAGAGGAAATCATACACATTCAAGGAGTTCAACCAAGCTCAAAGGAATGAGACCGGACCATGAAGGCCTCCTTAATTGGTGACCCTTCCATTTGAATAGGGCCAACCTTCTTTTTCCTAGAACCCTCCCGAGAACTCTTATGTGAACCCTTCCACTCTTGGGATGGGCTGGGAAGAAGAGTGGCCAACCTCTTTGTCAGGGACCTGGACCAGAACCTTGGGTGACTCAACCCAGTAATCATTAGTGATTTGCATCATATGACCGGGTGACTTAACCCCCTTACTCCGGATGTGCTTTTGGAGGGGTGTGTGTAACACCCTCCGTCCTGCGAACCCAGTTCACCGCGGCCCAACGAGTCGGAGAGGTTACGTAGATGGTTTTAAGGCCGTCTACAAAGAAAAGTCTTGTGTTGCTTATAACTGAA